AACTAAATTCATGTTGGTGTAATATTGAGCTGTATGATGCAATTAAAAGTTCTATTGTAGTACTTTCTTAGTTTTTTTTACTATAGCATCAATTCGAAGTAAATTGATATTTATGTTCGAATATCATCGGAAGGCGTTAAAGGTACTTAAAAAAAATAAAGAGTACATTCACTCCTGTAGGAAACTTTTTAATTCATATTCCGAAATAACTAAGTGATGTATTGACATTTCTGGTAGCATTTACGATATCCACACTAGCCTTCATGGATATTATTACACTGCTTAAGAAATTCTATAGAAGCACCGAAATAGTAACCCTGATCTTGAGTGAAACATTGATGCGCTGATTGTGTCATAACTATTGGCTTTTAATTTAAATAAGCAATGTAAAATACTAAAATAAAGATTTCTATGCTGTCGAAAAAGAAATCACAAATTCTGAATCATGAATAATTTTCGATGATCTTTCAAACTTTTCTCTCCATGAATCATAATCATTAAATGTCAATGTTGTCAATGATTAATAAACTAACTGTCACATCCTCGGCATGTAGAATTGTGTTCAGACAATGTAGAAATCTGACTATAATTTTATTTATTCAAGTTTGTTATTAAGTAAAAAAACAAAAAAAAAGTCATATATGATCAAGAGAAAGAAAACAACAGTTAAGTTTAACAAAAAAGACAACGAAAAATATGTATAAAATAAAGCCATCTGATCAAATGAGAAGGAAAAAATGAGTCGACACTATTTTATCTATTTTAGCTTTGCCCGAACCAATTTGCACCTATTGAATTACTAATGACTTGAGGTCGTTTCAATGCGAATGATGTTGTTGATCGTGTATTAGTTGATTCAATAGGTTTACATGCTGAAGTATTTGTACTAAATGAAGTTGTTCGTGATGGAAGCAGATGATTTAAAAATGGTAATGAATGGTGATATGATGTTAATGATGATCTTGTTATTGAAATAATGGAAAATCTGCAGTTAAATTTTGATGATTTTCAAATGAAAATGATGAAGGGAAAAAATTAAAAGAATCATTATCATTATGACTATCAGTTGTAACTATTCGTAGAAGATTTACTGGTTCAAATAAAGATTAAGCAAATGGTGATCGAATATCTAAATAAAAATTAAAAAAAACATCTATTAGAGCGATTCCTACGAGATTAAAATATGAAACAAGATGTAGTTTCTATTGTTAATCACATTATAACGAAACTTTATTAATATGCGATCTATGATCCTACATCGTAAAATAAAACCGATCTACATATAGTGAATTAGATCGAATTAATTGAATGGTCTAAAATCCAAACTGACATCGAATCAACAAGTTATCGTAATATTCCATCTATGAATAATTATATTTGACACAATCAACTTTCAACAGAATTTCATTTAAAATTCAATGTCGGATGCTAAGAGCAAAATAATTAATAAGACACATCGATAAATACTGCACAAATCCCAGACTAACTAGGTGGAGATCGGTGCCAATGCTGATTCCATTTCAATGTATATTAGCAATATCTGACAACGTCGATGACGTAGAAAAAGGGTTTTGCTAAAGTATTTGTCACGGTCTGTGCTGTTTCAACGGTTATGTTTGCCATTCTCTGTGGGAAGTTAAAATTTCTACCATAATTCATTTCAATAGTTCTATTAAATTGAGTTCTAGAATTAAAAAAAAATACCACTTTCGTATCGGTTGTGAGACACGATTAAAAGGTGTTGAATGTCGATTTAAAAGAAAAACAAAAAAGTTAAAATTTCATAAAAATGAAATATATCAGACTTCGATCAAGATTCTTAAATGATGTTGTTGATGGTAGACGAATTGATTGAACGTGTAAATTCATTCAACATTTAATATATTTTAAAACGGAGAAAGATATAATTTACATTTTTCTCAATTATTTATTTCGTTCTCTAGTAGTTGTATGTATAGGTGATATGTTAGTAAATCATTAGATTCAAGTGAAATTAGATGAATCATTAGTTCTTCTTAAATAAGATTTCGTATCATTTACATTTTTATCCCCTTATTCAACAATACAATCATAAATATATTGTGCAAATGATTCTTCAATTTCTAAAATCATATCAACACTTAGTTTATCGGTCATTTCAATTGATATTTCTTGTAAAAAAAAATCGTTAACTATTGGCTAATATTCATTAGATAAATCTATTGTTGGAGGATCAAGCAGAAGTGATGCTTCCATTTCATTGCTTATATTTGGTACTGGTTCAATTGTTGGTGATGAAAATGAGTTTTGTTCGATTGGATATATTGAATTTGAAATAGATTCTAATAGATAGAAAAAGAAACGTTTGTTAGTTTTTCTTTTTCATGTTAACGATTAAATAAAACTACCAGGTCATATAAATGTATCAGTTGTAGATGATAAAATTGGCAATGGTAATCAAAATAGGTTTAGGTGATAATGGTAGTAATATTACTGTTTAACTAGGTTGTGTCGCTGTTGTGAAAATGAATGAAAAAGTTCATTCAATGAAAGACGTGGCACTTGTAATGGTTTTGTTAGAGAAGAATGATGATGATGCTCGTCTTATTTCGATCAGATGAAATAATACATGTACAATGGGATTGTTCATCAGTTCGAGTTGGTTTTATAGTTGATGGATCATGAAATTCAAAACGAGGTCGTCCATCTCAATAAAAAACAAATAAGATAATTTCTAAATAATGAAATTATTTAATTTTTCTTTTTTGTTTTAAAACTAACCACATTTTTTGTACATTCGTTATTGTACCATGATTTTTATATTGACGTTCAAAACGTTTCATAAATCGACTTGTATGTGATATACATTGTTTAGATGGATCATTTGATGGTTTACGTCCATTAGAATATTTTCGTTTAATTATAACTGTTTGATTGTTATTATTTAATTTTGATGTGTAAGCATCTTGATGCTGTTGTTGTCGATGTGTATGAGTAATTTTTATTCGTTGAATTAATTGAATTTGATAATTGTTGATAATTATTATATTTAATTACTGATTTATGTTGTTCTTTAATGTAACGTTTAAATAATGTAGAATTAGCTCAATCAACATTTGGTAAATATGATCGTGAACTATCCATTCTAAAGTGATAATTGTATAAGTTTCAATGCTTTTTTTATATTGCAAAATATCAAATGAATTCAACACTAATCTTCTTTCGTCATTCTATAAAAGCAAGCTTTTTTTTAATACTGTAAAAATTCAATATTATTAATTAATATAGTAATTCAATCTTCTCAACTGAAAATCTGAGAAAAATTTCTTTTGAGAAAACTTTATCCTAATAAAGTATTGATTAGTGGTTAGTCATTTTGTTTTGATTCTAGAGTGAAATCTTATCTCAACAAATCCAAAAAGAAATTCTTTTCCTTGATGGACTTTTCTTTTTTATATATTTCAATATACAAACTCTGCACGATTTGACCATTTCACATGATATTTCTTTCTATTGACGAATGCTCAAATGCTTCTGTGAAAAAGATTAAGTATTTCATGTGTTGAGAACATGAAAATTCTATGAATCATCATTTTAACAACGATCTATTTCAATACAATAACGAATATTTTATCTGTCCAGAATGAATTTACAAGACCTTGCCTTTTAGAATGTATGAATTCGATTAATCATCTAAATAAGTCTTTTTTAGTTTACAATTATGAGTTCTCATCTAAAGACAGATCTTTTTGAGCATAGAACTGAAAAAGAAACATAGATTGTCAATATAATTTCTCGTTGCCATAACAAAATACTAGAATTCAATGGAGTATCATCATCAATAGCTTGAAATATAGACAGACTATAATCATTAGTATGCAAAACTTGTAATATTTTCAGACATACAAAAAAAAAACAACAAAAGTATATGTATCATAGACAACAATGCTCAAAGAAAATGAATTGAAAAAATTTCTTGTCTTCTTCTTGTCTTGAGAATATAATAAAAAAAGAGGAGGAGGAGGACGAAAAATATTCATCATCCATATAAATAGAACTTATTGAATTGAGTATGTTTATCATTAACTAATTCATTTTTACTACTTCTATAA